AGGAGGAGAGTTGCAGGGTGTGGGGAGGAGGCAGCTGCACGCACAGGACCCCGAGCAGAGAGGGGCTGATTGCACTTGTGTTTGGCAGCACTGACCCACAAAAGGAAGTCTGGCCCCAGAGGCTTCTGTAGCAACCCCAGGGACTGCTGCTGCCTTTGAGAGCACCAGGGAGGCAGAAAATCTCTCCTGGTTCAGGGACTGAGGCTCAGGAAGGGTACGGACATCTGCTGGTGGGAACTTGTGCACTGTTTTTCCTCTTGTGTCTGTTGCTTCCAGATCACTCCCTTCTGTCTGATGCTGACTTACCCAAGATGCCCATAGTAGTTTCCCCCTGCTGAACTATCACTCATCTCCTCACCCTACTCCCTGCTCAGTATTATTTCCTAGACTATCTGGTGCCAGTGGTTGATGCTACTGGCTTTGCTCGGGTAAGGCAGCAGGTCTCCATCAGGACCTGCAGCTCTGCCTCTGGGGCCCTTGCAGTGATGTCCCCTGAGGTGTGCATCCCTGCCCAGCCGCTGGCCACAGCATGCCCCTAGAGTGGCCCTTGCTGCGGGACCGGAAGGAACAGGATGTTCACCGCAGTCTCTTGCGGAACGTGCAGGATCAGTGCCACAGCCACGCGCTTTTCAGCAGGAAGCGCAGTCTGCACGATGCACTGGGTTGGCAGGTGCTGATCAGGATGTGACCCTTCCGATTCCCCCACAGGTGATGTTCTCCTTCGAAGCTGGCAGGCGCTGTGACTCAGGACCTGGAAATTTCACCTTTGAGACCAAGCAGGGCAACGAGATCTTCCGCCTTGTGGAAGCCTCCATCCAGGAGCAGAAAGCGCAAGTGGAGGAGAACCGGCAAAGCTGCGACTCGCTGGATGCAGACAGCCCCGGCATGGTGCTGATCCGCCAGGCCCTGGCTGACTCCCTGAGCCTGGAGCTGCCTGCCGACGGGGGTGATACCCCAGCACCCAAAGTGGGGCTGGCGCCCAGGGCCAGTGCAGCAGCAGAGGAGAGAGACGCCACGTCTCTGCTGAAGACCCGGACTCTGCCGGAGGTGCCTGTGCCACAGAGCAAGCCCGCAGTCCCCAGCACCCCCCCACGCTCCCCTCTGCCGAAGATGCTCCGTGCTGTGCTGCCAGCCGAGGACCCGTCCAGCGTGTACTCAGAGCCCCTGGACTCAGTGAAGAGCCTCCGGCCCTGGCCAGACCCGCTGTACTCAGACCCTGTGGACAGCAAGCCCACGAGTGGGGCCAAGGCACCCGGCGGGGCCTCGGATGAGACGAAGCTTCGGCTGCTGATGCCACTGTACTCGGGTGCCTACGAGCAGGTCGGTGCTGAGGGTCGCAGCCGGGCACCGCTGACGCCCGGGCAGAAGGAGCACATCTATGATGAGCCTGAAGGTCGTGCTCCCCGCTCGCTGCCCCCCCCCACCTGCATCTATGACGAGGCGCGGCCCACAGGCGAGGCCTGGCGCACCCAGGGCCACGACGGCAAAGGCGGCTACGAGTACCCCTACAACTCCAGCACTGATGACTACTCGGTACCTGCCTTCCAGGCTAAGGCCAAGGGCCCCAGGCCAGTCCCTGCCCCCAAGCCCCAGGCACCCTTTATCTCCAAAAGTGTGGAGAGGATCGAGGACCCTGGGAGGCGATGGGGAAGCGCTGCTCCTGAGAAGGCGGTCACCAAACCCAACCTCAACAGCAGCAACAACAACAATGTGGAGGTGCTGTACAGCCAGGTGGTGAAGCCCCAGCACCTGCAGAAGAAGGAGCAGTCTGTGGATGAGTGCAGCTTGCCGCCTGTCTATGAGGACTTAGGAGAAATATAGGGTGCTGCTGTTCTGTATCTGCCTGGATGAGACTTGGCATCCCAGTGCCAGCTGTGCTCCTCCCTGGGTCTGGGGGGCCTTAGGGGTGGGGACTGTTTGGGCTCAGGCAGAGTCCCTCTTGCTCACCAGCGCTGAGAGGCTGCCTTTCCCTGGAGTGAAACAGCAAGAGCAAGAGAGCTGTGGCTGGCACAGGTGCCAGGGTGCTTCTCCTGCTCTGGAGCTGGTTCTGCTGCTGCTGCCTCCTGATCACAGGAAGCCTGGCTGTGTTGTCCTATATCTGTTGCTCTGGCTCTGCTCTGGCTTGCCCTCTGACCAGGCTGCAGGGCTCAGATGGCCATTGTGGTGCGTGGAAGACTGCTTGCCATCAGTCTTCAAAAGTATTTTTATACAAAATTATTTTAATATTAAAGTTCTTATGTCTCAGAATGACATGTTTGCCTGTCTGAGCTGCCAGGATGGATGGGGAGATGCTGGTCCTGCTGCAGAACAGCTGAGCACTCTCCATATTGTCACACATTCGTGTCTGTGCCAGAGTTACTGAGTTAAGGGGAAACACCAATGAAGAGTGCATGCCAGATTCAGCTGTGGCTGGGATGCCCTGATGCCAGGGGATTAAGGGATGTGAGAGTCAGGCTCACAGCTATCTTTATGTGCTGATCAGCGCATGGATGTGATGGCCTCCATGCATGAGGCTGGGAAGGGACAGGCTCTAGCTCTGCTGCAGCTGTTGATTAGTGGCTATTGATTAGTCACAGGATCTCTCCTTCCCCAGCTTGATCCCACTGCTGATCACCCCCTGCTCTTGAAAGGCCTGGGATAGCACATTCTGGATACCATTGACTTAAATGGCAAAATCTGCGATCCCTGCAATGTGATCTGAGGCTGATTGCAGTGTGGCCAGCCTTGGGCAGGAACCTATGCACAGGAGAAAACAGGTTGTCCTTTTGGTACTCATAATGGTTTTGAGAGATTTCATGTCCTTCTGTGTAGAATCAGATGAGGCATGCTGGTATTGGCTGCACCCATGTCTGGATGGGGCTGATATTGACTTCTGCAAGTTCACCAGCCTGTTGATACTGACAGCAGCATGGCAGGCAGGTGACAGCACTGTACTGTACCTGTGCAGAGGGCTAAGCATGACTCCTGCAGCCCCACCTCGGACCCAGGGAGCCAAAAACTGCTGGCGGCGAAGTCTGAAGGATCAGGTTCAGATCCCCGTGCTGGTGTGATGGTGACAAGGTGGTAAGCTCTGACTGGCCATTTGTCTGATGCCCAAGTTGCCAGGAGAACCCTCAGCCCTGTCACAATACAGCTCAGCTGTACCCAGGACCAATTTGTGGCTGTTCTGTGCTGGGTTGTCTTTTCCACTGGGGTTTTGCTGCATGAGAAGGGAAAGAAGTCTAAGGGGTTTTGGGAATCTGAGGGAGGCTGAGGCAGTTCCTGCAGGGATGAGGGTCAGGGGAAGAGAGTGTTGGCTACTGGGTGCTCCCTTGCTTGTGTTCCCGTCCATGGTGGGTCCATGTCCATATCCCAAGAGCAGTTCTGCCCACCTGCTCATCGGAGATGAGCTCTGGGCATTGCTTAGGTGGCCCAGGCCACCTGTCCGTAATCGTTGCTCATGACTCCAGTGAGAAGCTCCATAACTGAAACAATGAAGAGCAGCCTCTCTGGGGTTCTCCCTTCATATACAGCCTTGGTACTTATTCATCTCCATCCCTGTGGGCACCTCTGTGTGCTGTGTCTGTGCCTTCCCATGGAGCTGTGTGTGGTGAACATGCTGGGCTGACCCAACTGGCACCTAAAAGGTGACAGCGAGGAAGGAAGATGCTACAGCAGCATCTGTGTTGGCCCAGTGGTCCCTGCACAGCCCTGCTCTCCTCTTGGATGCAAGGAAAGCATATTTATTTTTCTTGTTTCAGCAACAGAATCTTCTTTCCTAACAGGCAACTCAGAACTTCCAAAGACATTCCATCCCACCTTCTGCCCTCCCTCCCCCGCCTGATTTTGTTATTCTCATATTGTTGCCCGGTTTGCACACCCCAGGCTGGGCCATTTGTATGTGTATCACTGCCCTTCGCTCCTGTCCCTTCCCAAGGTGTTAGAGATAGGCAGAGCTGGCCACCAGACTGCACCCAACAAGTCCATATCCCTGTGCCTGCAGGGGTGTCTGCCTTGTTTTCCAGGGTATCTGCCCTTGATATCTTGCTGCAAGCAGCTGCCTGAGATGCCAGGGCATGGGAAGAGCAGGCCCGTGCCCTTGAATGGCTATCAGGGCCTGTCGATGAGCTGAGAGCCCAGGGAGAAGAGATGGCTCTGACAGCTCTGCACTCCTGCTGAACAGCCCCTGTGGAGGATGGTGCCTGTCTTGTGCCCTTGCTCAGCTGCAGCTGTTTCTCAGGAAGCACAGGTCAGTGCTGGGATAGCAATGCTGTACACATTATAAACACGGTCAGAAAGTGAACACTATGGTGAATAACTTTATTTTGAAACAGCTTGTCAGAACAAAATAAGTAGAACACAAACTGTGCTGGTGCTTGGCATCAGGGGGCTGATAGACACCACCCCACCTTGGCTTGGTTGAGCTGCCCTCAGCTTCTGCCCTGCCAGGGGCAGCTGCCCTACACTTGCACTGAAAACCAGGCTGACGCGTGTGCCAGCACTGGGCAGAAACTCTGAAAAGCTCTAGGTCAGTGTGGTGCTGCATTCCTCCCCTGCCACACCATACTATGATCTGAGAATCTGAAGCCTGCCAAAAAGTATTGCTGTGTTGGCTCGTGGACCAGCCCCATAGGCACGGGTCGTCCAGGAGGAGGAGATGGGACTGGGGCTGTGCTGCAGTTCCAGCTGCGTGAGATGTCACTGTGCAGGAGCCAGCCCTGGCTTGGCACTTGCTACAGAACCCTTCACTGGCTGGGGTGTTGGACAGCGAGGCCAACCTCAGAAGCAAGCAAATCATCATCATCAGGGGTAGTGCTGCGCCCGGGAGGGCAGAATTCCAGGCTTTAAGATCAAATTCAAGAGCCCCGTTTTAGGCCTGTTCAAACACCCCACCGAACCTGCTGCTGCAGGATGAGGGCAGCTCGGTGTCACTGCCTGCCTCATCTGTCTGATTTCCTCACCACCCCGCTTGCAGTTCCTCCGCACCCGCTGACAGCAATCTGTGGTTTTTGGCCTGTGTTAGCCCAGTCTCAGAAACCAAAATTTGAGGCACGCTTGTGATGCGTGCCGACAAGAACAGGAAATATGTGGTGGTGTGGGGGATAACTGGATCTCTGGACAGAGGGTCCCAGAGCAGCAAACTGCCTGCAGACTGACTCAGTGACAAACAAAATTGTAAAACAACAAGGAGGAACAAACAATAGGAAGTGCCTGTCTGACCAAGACTGAGCTCAGTGTCTGGCCTGACCGCTTCCGGCCCAGTGCAGCTGAGCAAGAAGCTGAGCTGTGACTGCACATGGGCAGCCCCAGCAGAGCCTGGGCTTCACTGCAGGAACTCATCATACTCTCTGGGGAGGGGAGAGCGCTCACAGGAGTCCCTCCTCGCTGATGCTGGTCTGAATGTTTGGAGGGGAGAGGGAGCCATCAGAAGGGGTGCCACTGCAGCTTTGGCTCTGCTCTGGGGCTGCAAGACAGGGACAAAACACAAATGCACCTTGTGGAAGGAGGCGCTGGCTTGTCCCACTGTGGTTGTGTCTGAATGTGCCCAGCATCCCTCTCAGCTGCACGAGCTGATCCTGCACCCATCCCTGCTGGGTACCAGGGACCTGCCCTCAGCCCTTCTGTAGGAAGTTGACCAGAAGAGCAGAACACAAAGGCTGGTCACAGGCAAGGGACTTACCTGTTTGGGCTGATGCCGCTCTGGGCGCTGCTCCCGGGGCTGGGCCTGCTGCCGATGCGGAGGTTTGTACAACGAACTCTTCAGGTATTTGTAGAGGTTGCTTTTTAGGTGTAAGGGGTTATAAGCAACTTCCACTTCCAAGCTGTTCAGGGCACTCTGCTCAGGAGAAAGAACTGAATCGCTATGGGATGTGACAGGTGGAGGCTGTGGTGTTTGTGTGGGGGAGGGATCTGTTGTTTCTAGCATTGGCAGGGGTGGTTTGCAGGGATGAGTGTTGCAGACACTCCATGCCACCCTGCAGTGATTGGCTGTGCCGCTACCCACAAGGAGCACTCTTAGCTGTGTATGGAACAAGAGGCATCTGCCACCAGGTCTTAATGGATTTAAGCATTCCCTTGTGAGATGCGGTCCTATCCTTTCTCATGCCCAGAAACAGCCAACTAGCTGGAGCACCCCTTCTGGGCACCATCACCCTCAACTCTGCCACATAAGACCTCTTCCCACTCTCCACAACAGACATACAACATTGCTCCAAAAGACAGGCATTAACTGTCTATGAAGAAAGCTGTAGGATATGTCCTCTGCTGGAAAGAAGTTTTGGAGTGCTCCATCATATTCCAGCTGTCACTAGACATTTTCACAGCCACTTCCTTCTCTATTTATCTGCTAAGACTACAGTGAGAGCTCCGCCCTTCCTGGCAGCACCTGGAGCAGAGGCAGACAATTTGGGAGAACAAGAGGAAATGCAGAAGCTTGAATCTACTGGAAGAAACAGAGGTACCCTATGTATTGATTTACCTATTGCCTAAAGCACCTCTCTCTGAAGTGTGAGGAGATCTGTGTTCCCTGGCAATGAGGGAGACGGCTACAGCTTCAGCAGCAGCTGCACCGCCTGTGCATAGGGCTGATCATTGCTCTGATCTCTGCCTGTGCATAGGGCTGATCATTGCTCCGATCTCTGCCCGTGCATAGGGCTGATCATTGCTCTGATCTCTGCCTGTGCAGCTGGACCTTTGCACCGGGGTTAGCACAGGGCTCCAGTGACTCCCCTGGGACCTGGGCACAGAGGTTAGAGCAGGGCTGCGCTGACTCACCTCTATGGGGCCACGGACTCGCTCGGGGTGCTCAGCAAGGAGGGCTGGGAAGGCTGAAGGCAGCAGGAGCTCCCTGACGGCGACTGCTTTGACAAGTAGAGTGGCAGAGTCGGAAGGGACGATGACGTAATAGGAATGCACCACAATGTTCCAGTTTGGACTCGTGTTCTGAGGTTCGTGCTTGGCCAAAAGCATCCACTTCCTTTGCTAAATGGCAAAAGCCAAACCCAGTGTGAACAACAGGCAAGAGCCACTTCCTCCAGCACTGTCAGCGTGGGCTGTAGTGCTCAGGAGCAGGCTCACACATCAGAGTAAGAACAATATTCTGCAGTATGGTTGAGGACATTTTTCAATTAAATGCAAGTCAATTCTTGAACAAAACATCCAATTTTGCTTTACAACTTGTCAGTAATGGACACTCTTCCACAGTCCAAGCCTTGGTTAATTTTTATTCAGAGTTAAAGATGCAGATCTAACTCCAACTCTGACATTTGCACTTCATATCCCCAAACACTGGATTTCTGATAGGCTTGAGGGTCTTCTCTAAGGTTTGATGTGCTGTAGCATCTTTCGAGTGGATGCCTTGGGGCTGGAAAGATTTACAAGCACAGCTCTGGCCCATAAGATGAGTTGCAGCTTCTGAAAAATGTTTTCTGGTGCAGGCTACAGATCTTCCGGGGTTTGCACTAACTATTCCTTTCTCTGGCAATCCCTCCCCATCACACTGCAATTTTCACACACTCACCAGAAGACTGTGACATAAAGCATGGAAGCTGTGCTGGTTTGTCTCCAGTTCATCCCAGTCCAGCTGCCAGCAGCTCGTGGGCTTGATGATGAAGGGCAGGCCATACAGTACAGACTCACAGACCCCCTCAGACTTCAGAGCCCTGTAAGCATATGGCTCCTGTTAGTGCTCTTCAGCTACTGACAGGATGAGAATCATTTTAATAGCAACTGCATAGCTCAAAAATAACTTTTTTTCCCCTATAAATAAACCTCAGAAAAGATACTAGAGAGCATCACTTGTGCTATGCTCTGTGCTTATCAGCCACGAACTGCTGACAGGAAAGTGAGCACATCCTTAGGTGAAGTCACACGGCACTATGAGGCTTTGCTTGCTTTTTGACTACTGATCCAGCTAATGATCTCAGGGTCTGACATTCAATTAATTGCTGTGGTTTCATTATGTAGTGAGAGAACAGCAAAATTATTGCAATGCCTGCAAGCTACAGAACTTTACACTGGAGGGAAACAACTGTTGCATGAATAACACCTATGGTGTTACGCTCATCAGTGCCAGTGCCAAGGCAATACCACTTGTGGCTGTGCTCCTGTCTGTGTGTGGGCTGTGCTGTTCCATGACAAGGAAGAGTTACAGGGCTGAGGGTCTCTCATATCACGGTTTTGCTCACCAGAACTTTTGAGTCCCCCAGTGCTTTATGATGATGTTACCAGGTCCCAGGTTGACACTGCACAGGAAGAGTGAAGCTGCTGTTCCACCACCTCGCAGGTACTGAGCATGAGGCACGAAGCAACACTTACTTTACCACCTGGAGTTTGTGCAGCCCTGTGGCTGGCCAGGCTGCCACGTGCCAGGGAGAACTGGGATCTGCTGCTCTCATAGTGCCATCAGCCGGCCCCGAAAGCAGAGCTGGGTCGAGCAGTCTCTCCTGCAAGTCGCACTTCAGGCACACTGGAAGAAGGAGATTGGTTTAGGTCGCTGGAAATGTTCAGCACATGACATGCTCAAAGCACTTCCAAAAAACATGAGCTATTTTAGTGTTAAATCACTAGATATAAATACAAGCTAAGTCCTTTTGTAAGACAGCCTTTACTTAAGTGCAACTCTGTCACAGACTTTTAGTATTGAACAGAAGGAACACATTTTTTAGGGCTATTCAGCTCTCAAGATGTAAAAGGCCCCTTTTCCCTTGACTACATGGCTATAAATTCACATGCTCCTCCAGGCACATTTTGCTGCATAATGGAAATTATTGTGGTCTTGGCAGCCACAGGACACAGCAGCAAACAAGCAGCTTTCTGAGCAATAGGCTCCTACCAGACTGAGACAATTCCCAGCTTTCCCAGTTACCTAGAGACCTCACTTGGTGGGACCTTACTCTCTAAATGGGAGGGAAAAAGGACCATAGGACAAGCCTGGATAACCTTCAAGGCTGTGGGATTGAGGAGCTCCCTGCAGAGGGGAAGAGAAAATTAAATACTTATGGTGCTCTTGGGTGCAGCAGCATGGCTGAAACCTCCCGACGGAAGGAGGAGATGGAGCTGTTCCCTCTCCGTGCCATAGTCATGGAGCCATGTTTTAAACAGCATCTCCAAGCTGATGACATTGTCCTCTACGGTTTGCACATCAAAGTCCATTCCCAGGATTGCAATGTCTGCGGGAGAGGGGGAAAAAAAGGTGTAAAAGCACAAATATTTTCAGCCATAGAAAAGAACATTCTTTTGCATTTTCCATGGCATTACACCTCCTTAGTACCTTCAGTGCTGTCACAAAAAAAGTGCGTCAGAAGCCATTACCATGCAAATCACAACGCAGCACTGTGACTCCAGGGACACTGCTGGGAGCTGACCTGCTCCACAGGCCACCCCAACACCTTTCCCTCACTGGGGTGTTGGGACCTGAGGGGAACAGAAGCAACACTTGGCCCAGACCTGGCCCACAAAGAGGGCAGGTTTCAGCACATTACTGATCAGTGCTGCTTCGTAACCCAGCAGTCCCAGGGTAGAACATCCTAGCAGATACACCAGGAGGCAAAACTATCCACCACCATTACACCCCATTTCAAACAAGTGGAATCCATAAAATTTAGAGACTTGTTAAACTGAAATTAAAAGGAGAAGGTAAATATGTTGGCAAGGGCATAGCAAGTATTTAAGCTCCCATGTCAGAGGTGCAGACAAGTACGTATGGTTGAGCAACAACTTTTAGGCATGGAGAAATGTAGGCTGGAGCACTCAGGCAGATCAAAACCAAGATAAACCCTTACAAAAAAACTCCCAAACCAATAATACTTCAAAGGTGCATCCAAACGAGAAGCTAGCTTGTAGAACAGCAGATTAAATAATAATTAAAAAAAAACAGGTAAAGGGGAAAACAAGAAAAAAGATGATCAGTTTGCAAAATGCGTAAGGCGTGCAATATACCCACTTGTAAACACAGAAGATACAGACAGCCTGGTAGCACTGATTGCTTTACCATACAGTCAGGACGTGAAACATGTTTTCTGAGAATATGAATAAATAGTAGAAATAGCCTTTTTTTCCCCACTTGTGTTTACCAGGCCAGTGGGGGACTAAAAACCAGTGCTATATCCATCTATACCAAGAAATCTTTTCTTTACGCATGCATATTTCTAGTTGACTAAAATGACACTATGCATCTGCTCCTGTATTAAAAAAAAATCAACCCCCCCCCCCCCCCCCCCCAATTCATTTATTTCCCTCTACCTGGCAAATAATCCAGGCCTACTATAATGACTGTAATTCTTCAGATGCTCTGCAACTTGTACCCACCCTGATGGGCAGCACAGCTGTCACAGAAGGACACACTTCCCCCCTGTCTCCACCTCCCAGCCTTGGGGAAGGCACTGGGATCCTGTAGGTTGTGCCTCTGCAGCACAGCAGATTCAATTCCCTGCCACAGTGCAAGACCCTTCCCACTGTCCTTGCTTCTGAGGATTTTCCTTATCGACACACTGACTGTCCTTGGCTGACAGGACACTTCATTCTTTTTTTTTTTTTTTTAGTTCTTCACAAATCTGTATACTAAACCAATTACCTCAGTTTTGCAGCAGCTTTTAACAATGTATTTTAACACTGATCCTGCGCCTTACCCCAGTCTTCTCTGGTGCTTGAGTTTCTCCCTCCCGGAGCAATGCTGGAGGGTACTGTGTTGGAAGGGAACGTCCTGCTTCTGTGTGGAAGCTGCTCCTCATGACTCAGCTGTTACCACCATCAGTCCCTTGCCATGACACTTTGAGCCTTCCTCCCACTTCCCTGCACTGATGCAGCTGGAGAGCAGGCTGGTCATGTTCTGGTGGTGATGTGTTCGCTACAGATTTTAGACTTGGGCAAAATGGTCAACAGTCTGCAGAGCCCATCCAGAAAAAGGTTTCCTGAGACTTGCAGAACATTTTTCATGTTCATAAAAAATGTATTAGTGCTTTATCTTCAGTGCTTGTTTGTTGTTTCCCCCAAACAGAACTAGCTGGGACCAGTATCTCCAACACATGCAAATACTGACCTTTGTCAGCAAAAGGTCTGGCAATGCTCAGCTGCTTTTAGCGAGTGTAATGGGGTTGGGGCAAAAGAGAGAGAATAATAACGCTCAGGTTATCAGTTAGAGGCCAGTCCATCCGAAGGCCAGGCATCCTGTCAGTCACTCCCACAGCCATTCCCACCACAAATGCCGTGCACACTGCTCTCTGTGGGGTTTAGATACATCACATCTCTGCTCTCTCTGCAGTCTGGAAAGCACTAATGCTTTATAATTACAGAAACATTGCAGATTTAGCCTCTGCCCCACAGAGGAGCTGCTCTGCAGTTTGAAAAAGCAATCCTTGTCCCTCATCAGGTGGTCTGTGTTTGTCTGGAAACACACCTCCCAGGGAGTTCCTCTTGTGGAGAAAACAGCCACTGTTTCTTACCCTGGACTGTTCTGAGCATGTTCAAAGCTATTCTAAGATTTG